TGTGTGCTTAAATCCCTTTATGGAAGAGCCAGGGGCCTATAAGTCACAGGGACACTTTGGAAAGAGACCCATACTCAACCCACATTTTCAATGATTAAAAAGAAAAAAAAGGATAAAAAGTTTTGGTTTGTTTGGGGTGGGTTTTTTGTGGTTTTTGTTTTGTTTTGTTTTGTTTTGTTTTGCTTTTTTGTGTGTGTGTGTTTTTTGTTTGGTTGGTTGGTGTTTTGTGTTTTAGGTTTTTTTGGGTTTTTTTTGTTGTTGTTTTGGTTTGGTTTTTTGGGGTTTTTTGGGGTTGTTTTGGGGGGGTTTTTTGGGGTTGTTGTTGTTGTTGTTGTTTTGTTTGTTTTGTTTTTTTGGGTTTTTTTTTTTTGCCTGAGGGAATCCTTTAGCAAATGCATCTGACAGTGCCTGCAAAGTGTGGTCAGCCAGGGATGAAAAAACACAGGAGAGAAAAGTGCTGGAGCCTGCAGAGCTCCTGTAGACACTCAGGGCTGTTTATAAAAACACCAGGAAATTGTAGAGCAGGACTGACCTACAGCTCCCTGACCCCACTACTCTGTGGCACATAGGGTCTGCCTGTGTAATGGCACATCCTTTCATATATAAATATTTAATATATATATTTTATCCATATATATTTATATATTTATATATGGATATAGATGTATTGATATATGTTGGGGGGGGTTCAGGTTTTTTTTGGGTTTTTTTCTTTGGGGTTTTTTTGGGGTTTTTTTGTTTGTTTTGTTTTTTTTCCCCAGCCATAGAGGCAATGGCTGAAGCACATTTGCCAAATTCTGTCAATTGTACAACACCATCCCAGGAGGCAAAACCCCTCCAGCAGTGGAACACACCCGTGTGGGTGCCCAGCACTGCTCCACACCTGGGAGCAAGTACTTCTGCAGTAAAAAACTGCCTAAAAAACTGCCTGAAGGCCAGAAAAAGCCTGAGAATAAAGTTCTGAGCTGCACTGAATTCCCCAGCTCAGCGTTTAGACTAAACCACCAACATATGGCAGCCTCACAAAACAACCCAAAACCTGCTGAGTTTAATATTTGATGCTCAATATGGAAAGCTGAAGCTTCATCTTGCCCTTGGCACAACAAATGGACAGATTGAAGAAAGTGCTGTACAACTGTAGAGTCAGTGACCCCCAAGAGGCTTCTGCAGCATCCAGGTGAAGTATCCCTGCACATGGAATGGGAGGGAAAATGCAGATTTCATGAGCTGCTGTTGGAACCCTGGTTAAGTAATACTGTGTAATTGAGGGTCAC